TATATATATATATATACATATATATATATATATTAGTTTTTGAGAAGTTCATACAATTAAATCATTATATTCACTCTCCCTTCATTAACTCTTCCCAGATAAATCCCCTTTTCATTCATTCTCAACCTTGTGTCCTTCTTATCACTATCAAGGCAAATTTGTACTGCCTAAATATTCGTGGATACATGTGGTCTTCCACCAGAACATGGTCAACTTATCAAATAATGCACAGTATTATAAATAGCATAGACTTCTAATTCCCCAAAAATTAAAAAAATCGACTTATATTCTATGATATTAATGTTTATCTTTACACATTGCCAAGTTTTTAATCCTTAGCTTTACCCTCATCGCCATTTTATGCATATGTAAACTGAAAAAAATCTGCAAAAAATCCCTCTTGATTTTTTAATAATTAAGAAGAAAATTAAACAGTAAGTAGGGTTACATAGGACTTAATATAAAATGACTTGTTAAGTCAGTAGTTGCAAGGCCAGAAACTGGAAAAGGAGAAAAAAAAATCCACGTTACAAAGTTAGAAAATCTATTACTATGAATGTCTTTTAAAAGCAGCATTTAACAACTTTAGCCTCTAGTTAAAATGGCATCAGGTTAGTTGATTGAATATTTATTCTTAGAGAAGACATTGATTTCACACACACAATCTATTCTACAGGCTACTGTTTTCTCAGTGGAAAGAGATTGTTTCTAATCAGGTCTCACTGGTGTCTGAGGCTCTGAGAAACAGATCTTTCTTTGAAAATAAACTCTACTTTCAAATATTCAAATATGAAGTCAAGGGCATTCATCAATTGCTGTGTGCTTTCTTTTATAAAAGTAGTCTGCACAAGTGAGGCGTCTAAGGAGCCAGAAGAAACCTGAACCAGGAACACAGGAGGTCTGTCCTAACCAGGGATGCAGGAGACCTGCTGTAACCAAAAACACAGGAGGACCCCCTAACCAGAGAGAGCACTGCCTGCCTCCCAGGAAGCTGGCTTTAACCCAGGTCATAGAGTTCTACCTTACCACAAGGAGACTGGCTCCAGTCAGAGACACCAAGGCCAGTTAACACCAGAGATAGCCAGATGGCAAGAAGTAATTGCAAGAACACAAGGGACAGAACCCAATACAATTTGGCACCATCAGAACCCAGTTCTCCCACCATAGCAAGCTCTGGATACCCCAATACACCTGAAAAGCAAGATTCTGACCTAAAATCCCATCGCATAAAGATGATAGAGCTCTTTAAGGAGAACATAAATAACTCCCTTAAGGAAATACAGGAAGTGCTTGCTTCAGCAGCACATATACTAAAATTGGAATGATACAGAGAAGATTAGCATGGCCCCCATGCAAGGATAGCATGCAGATTTGTGAAGCATTCCATATTTTTAGAACACAAATACCAGCCCAGGATATTATACCCAGCAAAACTTTCAATCACCACAGATGGAGAAACCAAGATATTCCATGTCAAGATTAAATTTAAACAATATTTTTCCACTAATCCAACCCTACAGAGGATATGGGAAGGAAGTCTCCAACACGAAGAGGGTAACTACACCCAAGAAAACACACACACACACACAAATAAACAATTCACAACAAACTCAAAAGAGAAGCATACACACATAATACAACCTCCAGCAACAAAAATAACAGAAACTAACAATTATCTGTCTTTAATATCTTTCAACATCAATGGACTCAACTCCCTAATAAAAAGACATTGGCTAACAGACTGGATACATAAAGAGGACTGAACATTTTACTGCACAGAAGAAAAACACCTCAGTAAAAAAAAAAAAAACAAAAAACAAAACAGATAATACCTTAGAGTAAAAAGCTGGAAGAAAGTTTTCCAAGCAAATGGTCCCAGGAAATAAGCTTGAATTGTCATTCTAATGTCCAATAAAAGAGACATTTAACCAAAAGTTATCAAAGGAGATGGAGAAAGATACTTCATATTCATCAAAGGAAAAATCCACCAAAAGGAAGTTTCAATGCCCCAAATGTAAGGGTACCCACATTAGTAAAAGTAACTTTACTAATGCTCAAAATACATATTGAACCTCACACGATAATGGTGGGAGAATTCAATCTCCCACTCTCACCAAAGGACAGGTCATTGAGACAGAAACTAAACAGAGACACAGTGAAACTAACAGAAGTTATGAACCAAATGGATTTAACAGATATCTACAGAGCATTTCACCTTAAAACAAGAGAATATACCTTCCTCTCAGCAACACATGGAACCATCTCCAAAACTGACCATATAATCAGACACAGAACAAGCCTCAACAGATACAAGAAGATTGAAATAATCCCATGCAGCCGGGTGGTGGTGGCGCACGCCTTTAATCCCAGCACTTGGGAAGCAGAGGCAGGCAGATTTCTGAGTTCGAGGCCAGCCTGGTCTACAGAGTAAGTTCCAGGACAGCCAGGACTACACAGAGAAACCCTGTCTCGAAAAAAACAAAAAGAGAAAAAGAAAAAGAAAAAAGAAATAATCCCATGCATCCTATCAGATCACCATAGACTAAAGCTAGACTTCAATAGCAACAAAAACAACAGAAAGTCCACATATCCATGGAAACTGAACTCTCTGCTCAATGATGACTTGGTCAGGGAAGACATGAAAGATATGGAATTCAGTGAAAATGATGACACATCATACCCAAATTTATGGGACAGAATGAAAACAGTGTTACGAGGAAAATTCATAGCACTAAGTAACTTCATAAAGAAATTGGAGAGGTCCCATCCAAGCAACTTAACAGTACACCTGAAAGCTTAAAATACACCCAAGAGGAGTAGAAGGCAGGGAATAATCAAATTCAGGGCTGAAACCAACCAAGTAGAAACAAAGAGAACTATACAAAGAATCAACAAAACCAAGAGCTGGCTCTTTGAGAAAATCAACAAGATAAACCCTTAGCCAGATTAACCAGAGGGAACAGAGACAGTACCCAAATTAATAAAATCAGAACTGAAAGGGTAGACATAACAACAGAAGCTGACAAAATTCAAAAAATCATCAGATTCTACTTCAAACGTCTGTACTCAACAAAACTGGAAAATCTAGATGAAATGGATGTTTTTCTAGATTGATACCACATATGAAAGTTAAATCAAGATCAGGTAAACTATCTAAACAGTCCCATAACCCCTGAGGAATTAGAAATAGCCCTTCAAAACCTCCTAACCAAAAAAAAAAAAAAAAAAAAAAAAAGCCCAGGGCCAGATGGTTTTAGTGCAGAATTCTACCAGACCTTCAAAGAAGAGCTAATAACAATACTCCTCAAATTATTCAACAAAATAGAAACAGAAGGAACACTACCTAATTCACTCTGTGAAGCCACTGTTACTCTGATACATAAACCACACAAGGACCCAACAAAAGAGAACTTCAGACTAATTTTTCTTATGAATATTGATGCAAAAATACTCAATAAAATTTTTGAAAACCAAATCCAGGAACACATTGTAGCTTGTAGTTTTATGCTCTACCTACCTTTACTCTGGGAGGTGACCATTCTACCAGGCCCCTCCCAGATTCCCTTGAATCCTCTGTTGAAAGATACTGACACAAAGTTGTCTAATTTAAACTTGCCTTCTGGCACAACTGCTGGGTGGTGCTATCTCCTGCCCGGAAAAGCAAGCCCTTATAAATTTCTTATCTCTGTCTCTCCCACCTGCCCTAAACTTCAGTGGCTGGTCCTAACTAGCTCTTTCCAAACAACCCCGGCCATCTGCCAGTAGAAATGGCCACAGGCCACAGCTCCTCTTGAGACCTCACATGCTTTCCTGGTTCTCCTTTCTCCAGGTTCATAGCTGCCTTATTTGTGATAGCCAGAAGCTGGAAATAAACCAGATGTCCCACAACTGAAGAATGGATACAGAAAATGTGGTTCATTTACACATTAGAATACTATTCAGCTATTAAAATGAGGATATCATGAATTTTGCAGATAAATGGATGGAATTAAAAAATATTATCCTGAGTGAGGTAACTCAGACCCAAAATGATATGCATGGTATGTACTCACTGATAAGTGTATATTAGCCAAAAAGTACAGAGTACCTAGGATACAATCCACAGAACTCATAGATTCTAAGAAGTGTAACAGAAAGGCCCAAGTGAAGATGCTTCCATCTCACTTAGAATGGGGAAGAAAATAATCATGGGAGGCAGAGGAAGGGAGGTATCTGGATGAGGGAGAAGAGGGGTAGGGGAGAGGAAAGGGGCAACAGGATCAGATAATGGGGAGAACTGGATAGAATCCCAGAAGGCCAAGAGAATGAATGGACATAAGTAGCGGGGGGGGGGGGGGGGCCAAGAACTAGAGAGACCCTCTTGAAATTACCAGTGACCCAGGAGGTGAGAGACTCTTAGAACTTAATGAGGATGACCTTAACCAAAATGCCCAACAATAGGGAGAAGGAACTTGAAGAGTCCACCTCCAGTAGATAGACAGGGCCTCAAGTGGAGGGTCTGGGTTACTAACCCACAGTCAAAATTTCTGACCCAGAATTGTTCCTATCTAAAAGAACTTCAGGGATAAAAATGAAGAGCAGACTGAAGGAAAGGAGGTCCAATGACCAGCCCAACTTGGGATCCACATCATGAGGCGGGCGGGAGCCGGGAGGGGGGTATGACACCAAGGCCTGACACTATTACTGATGCTAAGACAGACATGCTTACAGGCAGGAGCCTGGCTTGGGTGTCCTCTGAGAGGCCCTACCAACAGCCAACTGAAACAGATGCACATACTTACACCCAACCATTGGACTGAAGTTGGAGACCCCATTGTTGGATTAGGGTAAGGATTGAAGAAGCTGAAGGGGTAAGCAACCCCATAGAAAGACCAGCAGTCTCAACTAACCCAGAACCCAGGGATTTCCTAGAGACTAAACTACCAAAACAGGAGCATACACTGGCTTGTCTGAGGCCCCGGCACATAGATAGCAGAGGTCTGCCTGGTCTGGCTTCAGTGGGAGAAGATATGCTTAATACTTGAGAGCTTTGAGGCCCCAGGGGGGCTGGAGCACCCTTTCAGAGGCAAAGGGGAGGAGAAATGGGATGAAGAACTGTGGGAGAGGGGACTAGGAGGGTGCAAGGACTGGAATGTATTTAAACAAAATAATTAAAATAAAAAGAAAAGAAAAAAAAGAAATTCAGGAAAACATAGAGGAACTGGTAGAAACCATTAAAAGAGGAAACAGGTCCCTTAAAGAAATATAGGGAAATACAATCAAGCAGGTGAAGGAATTGATCAAAATAGTCAAAGACCTAAAATGGAAATAGAAACGATACAGAAATAACAAATGGAGGCAATTCTGGAGATGGAAAACCTAAGCAAGAGGTCAGGAGCTACAGATGCAAGTATCACCAACAAAATACAAGAGATGGAAGAGAGAATCGCAGGCATAAAAGATGCCATAGAAGATATTGACACATTGGTCAAAGAAAATATAAAATATAATTTCTTTAAAGACAGACTTATCTCAGTGACCCATAATAGTTACACAGTTTATAGAAGTGCTTCAATCAGCATCTTAGTATTTTATTAGCTGTGCACTCATGTCTACAGGATAAGACAGAAAGTAAAACATTTCAAAATTAAGATTTAAAAGATCTTGGGCTGGAGAGATGGCTCAGCGGTTAAGAGCACTGACTGCTCTTCCAGAGATCCTGAGTTTAATTCCCAGCAACCGCATAGTGGCTCACAACCATCTGTAACGGGATCTGATGCCCTCTTCTGGTGTGTCTGAAGATAGGTACAGTGTATTCATATACATAAAATAAATAAACCATTTAAAAAAGGAGATCTCATATTTTATGCAAGAAAACATAGATATTATCTATACCAAAATTAACAAAGTTTAATAGGAAAGTTCAGTAATTTTTCAGGAAAATTACTAAGAGATGAGATTTTAGGTGTTCTTCCCACAGAAATGAGCAGCTATCCTGTTGACAGATGTGTTAATTTGCTTGACTGTAATAATTATCCCTGTGTGTGTACATGTGCATAAATGTGTACACTTTAAGTAAATATAATTATAACATTTTAAATAGTGGCATACTTAAGTAAACAAGTAGATGAATTTAAGGAAAGTAGAAGACTTAAAAGCTGATTTCAAGCCGGGCATTGGTGGCGCACGCCTTTAATCCCAGCACTTGGGAGGCAGAG